TTTTGATGTTTTCTGCATCATTCATTAATTTGTCCAAAGAATCCTTCAATAACAAAAGTCAAGACTTGAATTTTTTCTTCAGTTCCCCCAGATTGAAAAATGCTGAGCATCATCTCCCTGTTTGGTTTTCTGACTCCAGTTTTTTGTACATTTTTGGCTTTATCTTCTCGAGTTGATCCTTGAAATGTTCTGATCAGGTCTTTTACCTACTCATTTCTTCCATTTGCTTTTTCATCTGTATGCTGGAGAACAAGTTTCAGTGTATCTTCTGACATCCATTTTGATCTTTTCCTTTTTTCTTGTCTTCTTAATGACTTTTGGTTTTCTATCTGTATGATCTTGATGTCATCCCACAACTCTTCTGGTCTTTGGTCTTTAGTGTTTAATGTATCAAATATGTTCTTCATATGATTTCTAAATTTTGGTGGTACATATTCAGGTTCATATTTTGGCTCTTGGGGACTTGTTTTCATTTTCTTCAGCTTCAGTCTGAATTTACATATGAACAATTGATGGTCTGTTCCACAATCTGCCCTTGGCCTTGTTTTGACTGATGATATGAAGCTTTTCCATCATCTCTTTCCACAGATGTAGTCAGGTTGATTTCTGTGTCTTCCCTCTGGTGAGTTCCATGTGTATAGTTATGTCTTGTGTTGTCTAAAGAAGTTATTTCAAGTGAACAAATCATTGATTTTGAAGAATTGTATCATGCATTCTCCAGCATCATTTCTATCCCCAAGGACATATTTTATTTTCTAGCTACTGATCCTTCCTCTTTGCTCTCAACCTTTGCATTCCAATCATCATTGTGATCAATAGATCTTGATTTCATGTTTGATCAATTTCAGATTGAATTTTGTTTTGTTGTTGTTATGTGCCATGGAGTCAGTTGAATAAGTTGGTAGAGTTCTTCTATTTCATCCTCACTGGCTTTAGTGGTTGTGTGTAAATTTGAATAATAGTGGTATTAACTGATGTACCCTATAGGTGCATGGATATTTTCCTATCACAGACAGCTTTGTACCTCATGACTGATCTGGATATGTTCTTTTTGACAATGAATGCAACACCATTCCTCTTCAATTTGTCATTCCCAGCATAGTAAACTTGCTTTCCAACATACAGATGCCAAAGCAAATGGAAGTAATGAGGAGGTACAAGAGCTGAATAGAAATTTTCAGAGGTCAGATTGAGAATACAAAATCAAACAGTATAACAAAATGTGCAAAGATCTGGAGTCAGAAAACCAAAAAAGAAAAACACACTCAGCATTTCACAAGCTTGCGGAACTGAAGAAAATTTCAAGCCTCAACTTTTGTTATTGAAGGATTCTCTGGGCAAACTATTGAATGATGCAGAAAGCATCAAAATAAGATGGAAGGCATACTCAGAGTCACTGTATCAAAAGGAAATGGTTAATGTTCAACTGTTTCAAAAGGTAGCATGTGATCAAGATCCAATGATAATGAAAGAAGAACTCCAAGTAGCTTTTAAGGAATTGGTAAAGAAGAAGCACCTGGAATTGATGGAATGAAAATTGAAATATTTCAAGAAAGTGATGAGGCACTGGAGGCACTCACTCATCTATTCCAAAAATTTTAGATGACAAGTATCTGGCTGACTGATTAAAAGAGATTCATATTTGTGCCTATTCCAAAGAGAGGTGATCCAACGGAATGCGGAAATCATTGGACAATCTCTTTGATATCCCATGCGAGTAAATTTTTACTAAAGGTAATCCAGAAAAGGCTAGAATCATACATTGACAGAGAACTTCCTGAGGTTCAAGTCAGATTCAGAAGAGGCTGTGGAATGATTGATGTCTTGACTGAAAGCAGAGAATATCAGAAAGATGTTTGCCTGTGTTTTATTGACTATGCAAAGGCTTTCAATTGTGTGGATCATGACAAGCTCTGGACACCATTGCAAAGTATGAGTATTCCAGAACACTAAGTTGTGCTCATGAGGAAACTGTACATGGACCAAGAGGCAGTTGTTTAAGCAAAACATGGGAACACTGAATGGTTTAAAATTAAGAATGATGTGCGTCAAAGTTGTATTGTTTCAGCATACTTATTCAATCTGTATGTTGAGCAAATAATCTGAGAAGTTGGATTATATGAAGAAAAACGTGGCATCAAGATTGGAGGAAGACTCATTAACAACCTGTGATATGTATATGATACAACCTTGCTTGCTGAAAGTAAGGGGTACTTAAAACCCTTACTAAAGAAGATCAAAGAGCACAGCCTTCAGTATGGATTGCATCTCAATGTAAATAAAACAAACACCCACACCTCTGGACTAATAAACAACATTCTTACCAATGTAGAGAAGACTGAAGTTGTCAAGGACTTCATTCTTCTTGGATTAATCCATCAACACCCTAGGAAGCAGTAGTGAAGAAATGAAACGATGTATAGCATTAGGCAAATCTGCTGCACAAGACCCTTTTAAGATGTTGAAGAGCAAAGATGTCAGCTTGAGGACTAATTTGTGCCTGATTCAAGCCATGATATTTCAACCACTTTTATGCATGCGAATGCCGAACAGTGAAGACCGTAATATAGTTGATGCATTCTAGTTATGGTTTTTGAGGAGATTCTTGAAAGTGCCAAAAGAATCAACAGATCTGTGATGAAAGAATTGCAGCCAGAGTGCTCCTTGGAGGTCAGGATGGCCAAATTTCATGTTTCAAACTTTGGACATTTTGACAAGAAGATCCTGTCTCTGGAGAAGGATATATCGTGTTTGGTAGGGTGGAGGGTCAGATAAGAAGACCCCTAGTGAGATGGATTTGCCAAGTTTAAGCATCAATGGGCTCAAACTTGGCAACTATTGTGAGGTTGGCTGAAGACCATGCAGTGTTTCATTCTGTTTTGCTTAGCATTGGTATAGATCGGTACTGACTCGATGGCACTTAGCAACAACAACAGCATCTACTTGAAATTGTGGTCATAAAGTAAGCCTAGGAGAAGTGAACCTTCAGATAGTGATGACTTCTAACACCTGTGAATGTGTGAAGAAAGAAGTTTGGGGAGAATAAATTTCGTGCCCGGTATCATATTAAGAGTATTCCAGGCAAACCAAGGGAAAGTTGTTTACCAATGGTGCCCTGCAGAGAAATTCTTAGTCTTTCCAGCATAGAGATGCTAATAGATGCATGCTAATCTTCCTACTATGTTTATTTACTGTGTATAAAGAGCCTTCTGGATGGTGGGTCTGATATATAAGCAGAACTGATTTGGAAGGATGACATTTAAGCAGTCAGTCAAGTGTATTCTTCTAGCAGTATAATGGAATATCAAAATTTTAGGATAGCCATAATAATTTTCCTGACAGAGGCTAAGACTATTTCTATATATTTAAAACTTATGAAAATAAGGTGTTAATGTATTTTAATTAATTTCCCATGGTTTTTGAGGAGCAGCTTGTGGGTTTGAACTGCCAACCTTCTGGTTTGTATTGCAGTGTTTATCCTAGAGTGCCACACGAGGTGTAGATTATCGTTGTTGTTGTTAGGTGCCACCGAGTCAGTACTGACCCATAGCGACCTTACGCACAGCAGAACAAAACACTGCCGGATCCTGGGCCAGCCTCACTACTGTTGCCACGCTTGATTCCATCAATCTGCCACTTGGCCAATCCATCTTGTTGGGGGTCTTCCTCTTTTTCTCTGACCCTCCACCTTACCAAAGATGATATCCTTCTCTATGTTATCTATTGGTTTTCATTGGCTGAATTTTAGAAGTATTGTGCCAAGCTTTTCTTCTTCGTCTGTATTAACATGAAGGTACACTGAAACCTATTTTCATCATCAAAGCACTGATAGATGGGTGGTGCCTGCACATGGGGTACATTGGTGGGAAGCTGACCCAGTCTCCTGCATGAAAAATAAGAAATCTATCATTGAATCACCAATGCACCCTCCGGTGCATCTTAGAGCCCATAAAGGCATCCTGTATGCTACAAGAAAAATGTTTTATTATAGCCAAACTTAATCATGAAAATAATCTCATTATAATATTCAAGTTAATTAGCAAATATTTTGAAATTTAAAGAATCTGGAGTCAGATATGGAAAATTGACAATAATGGTATTTCCTTTTGGTTATCACCAAACATGATAAAACATAGATTTGGAATCTTATTTAGGTCAATTTCCAGATTGCATTGTGCTGCATGGGAAAACAGGTCCTGGTGTGGTGCTACAGGAAAAGCACTAAACTGCTAACCACAGTTTGGTGGTTCAAACCCAGCAGCCCCTCCTTATATACTCTATACAGGGATGCTATGAGTTGTAACTAATTCAGTGTCACTTAACAAAAACAACCTGGGGAATGAGAATATTAATAATTATGGACATACTTTTATTTGTTCTGTTTTGATTGCCAAAATGTCACTATCTTATATTTTATTTGATTATAATAATTCTGGTTTTTGGAAAGCTCAACTGTTTATATTTGCAGTAGCGTTCTTTTATCTTATGAATTTGTCTTATGAAACTTCTATTTAGAACTTGATGGACACCTGAAACTTGGGATGTTGCCTATATCTCAAGACATCTATTTAGATAGTAAAATTTTCCTGGAAGCACAACAGAAGTAATTATTAATACATAAGTATTTTTTTATATTCTCTGTATACAGCCTATGTTGCATTTAATTGTCATTCTAGGATGTTTATGACTTATCATTTTAATATTAGTATATATTTGCAATGAACTCTTAGTTGTTGAATATTATTGTTTTATGAATATTCACACAATAAATATTTTTAATTCTACTAAATATAATACTGTATTTTCAATGTTTATTTCTCTGTTACTAATTAAGATAATTTAAGACTAATTTTTCTACATATGTAATTTGGTTATACTATCTGTCATCCAAATTTTCTTTTTCATTTTTTAGTGTTGATAAAGCAGATGATGAAGATGATGAGGATGTAACTGTAAACAAAACTTGGGTTTTGGCACCAAAGATTCATGAAGGAGACATCACACAAATTCTCAACTCCTTACTTCAAGGCTATGACAATAAACTTCGCCCAGATATAGGAGGTAAGTCAGAGTTATCCACTGAGGTTTTGGTACCTATGAAAAAGTTTTAAACATACAAATTGGACTTTCATGGAATATATCCATGGTGTAACATTAAATTAATTTAACATTTTTCAGCTTCACTAATTTTTTAAAAATAATTTAACTGATATACCTATTATTGTGTATATTAT